GGCCACTGCTGGAGCAACGCTTTGGAATGCCAGAACCAACAGAATTTCCATGTTAATCACTAATATTCCAACCATCTGTATAAAGATGATCTCTTCCCCATGCAGAAAAACTGTATTTTTGCAGCTAAAAGAAAGCCAATGTAGAAAGTCAAGGTTTGTTTTAATCAGCTTTTTCATTGCTGTGACCAAAAGACCTGACAAGAAAAATTAGAGGAGGAAAAGTTTATTTTGGGGCTCACAGTTTCAGCGGTCTCAGGCCATAGATAGCTGGCTCCATTCCTTGGAGCTTGAAGTGAGACAGAACATAAAGGCTGAATAGTGTGGCAGAAGAAAGCAGGTCAGCCAGGACATGGCCACCAAGAAGCAATAGAGAGACTCCACTCACCAGATATAAAATATATACTCCAACAGCACTCCCCCAGGGACACACCCTCTCCAGCCATACTCTACATTCAGTCACAACTCAATTAATCCCTATCAGAGGATTAATTCACTGATAGGGTTAATGCTTTCATAACCCAATCATTTCATCTCTAAGCCTCATGCATTGTCTCACATATGAGCTTTTGGGGGTTACCTAATATCTAAACCATAACTAGATTTCTTACAACTTGGGTAAAAAACTTGGCTCTGAATTTTTCTACAGGCTTTCCTCCATTGCTAATAAGTCCCCAAACTCCAGGATGCTGGTTAAAATAATCCTATTTCCCAAGCCTGGGACTTTACTTGGTGAGTCTCTAGATCTGGTCAAATTAGGAACAGTTGCTGTGAAGGGTATCAAAGAAAAAAGAAGTTGAGTGAGCGTTTTACAAGTATGGGGCAACTCATAGGATTTGAACATATACACAAAGATTTCAAAAGAAATCTTGCAACAGGGTTTCTCTTATTACACTCAATTTATTTTCTATGCTGAGAGAGAGAGAGAGAGAGAGAGAGAGACAGACAGACAGAGACAGACACTCTTAAAGAGATTTGGCAACCAAACTTGGTGTTTGGACTTTGTTAGGCTCCTAATATAAACAAACAAACATTTAGGGGAAATTGGGTATTTTTGGACCGTGTATCAAAATTGGACCTGTATTAAAATAATTTGAGCCGGAAGTAGTGGTACCTGCCTATGATCCTAGCAACTTGGGAGGCTGAGGCAGTAGGACCACAATTTTGAGGCCAGCCTCTGTAATGTAGGGAGGCCTTAAGTAACTTAGTGAGACTCTGTCTCAAAACAAAAAACATATAGGGGTAGAGATATGGCTCAGTGGTAAAGTACCTCTGGGTTCAATCCCTGGTACCAAAATGTAACAAAACCAAAATGATTTGACATA